AGGTATGATGTATAATATTTAATTGTAAAAATAAAATATTGATACTATTTCTACTCTACATGCTACACCTATGCACTATACACTGGATATGTTAAACATCTATAGGATATATCCATTGGTTACTTATGAACCTCTACTAAAGGTACCTATTAGATATTTTGCTGGATATCCATAGAATATCTTCTATATTCTGGATATAGACGGACATTTGGATATCCATATTAGATCCAGTGGATATCTATGATATCCTGTGGATATACTGGATATGCACAGAAGATATTCTGTGGATATCTCTTGGATTTCGTGTATTGTCTGGGAGATATACATTATATCCTGGACATAGACGGACATTTGAATATCCATATTAGATCCACGGGATATTTATGATATCCTGTAGATATATTGGATATCCACAAAAGATATTCTGTGGATATCTCTGGGATTTGGTGTGTTGTCTGGGAACACGAAAACGACCCAGATTGATATTTTAAATAAAGAAAAAATACCAAAGAAAACACAAAGAGAAAAAAGACTTAAATATTCAAACCAGAGTAAACAAAATCTTGAGAAAGGGCCTAAAAACAAAACCAAAAAAATGATACAAAAGCAAGACTACAAGAAAAAACTACAAAATGGGTTCAAAACTATAGAGCCAAAATTACCGATGAAAAGCGAGAGGAAAAACGTAGAAAAGACAGAGATACAAAAAAATAAAGGAAGAAGGACATATAAAAAGTATAAAAGATCTTGATAAAAGAGAACAGCGAAATATAAGAAAAAAATGGAAAGTGGCTTACTCTTGAGCATAATATGAGTTTAGGTTAGTTTCTATAGGAACGGCAGGTGTACAAAATCTGAAAATGTATATTTTAGCGGTACAAATTATGTTACATTCATTGCAGGAGTAACTATTGATTCTGCTGGTGCAAAAGGGTACTTTACTCTTGAGCCTAATATGAGTTTAGGTAAGTTTCTATAGGAACGACATGGGTACAAAATCTGAAATTTTATATTTTAGTGGTACAAATTATGTCACTTTTATTGCAGGAGTAAGTAACTATTGATTCTGCTCGTGCAAAAGGGTATTTTACTCTTGAGCCTAATATGAGTTTAGGTTAGTTTCTATAGGAACGGCAGGGGTACAAAATCTGAAATTTTAGTGGTACAAATTATGTTACTTTCATTATTGCAGGAGTAACTATTGATTCTGCTCGTTCATGAGGGTACTTTACTATTGAGCCTAATGTTTAGGTTAGTTTCTATAGGAACGGCAGGGGTACAAAATCTGAATATGTATATTTTAATGGTACAAATTATGTTACATTCATTGCAGGAGTAACTATTGATTCTGCTGGTGCAAAAGGGTACTTTACTCTTGAGCATAATATGAGTTTAGGTAAGTTTCTATAGGAACGGCAGGGGTACAAAATCTGAAATTTTATATTTTAGTGGAACAAATTATGTTACTTTTATTGCAGGAGTTAGCAACTATTGATTCTGCTCGTGCAAAAGGGTATTTTACTCTTGAGCCTAATATGAGTTTAGGTTAGTTTCTATAGGAACGGCAGGGGTACAAAATCTGAAATTTTATATTTTAGTGGTACAAATTATGTTACTTTCATTGCAGGAGTAACTATTGATTCTGCTCGTTCAAAAAGGTAATTTACTATTGAGCCCAATATGAGTTTAGGTTAGTTTATATAGGAACAGCAGGGGTACAAAATCTGAAATGGTATATTTTAGCGGTACAAATTATGGTACTTTCATTACAGGAGTAACTATTGATTCTGCTGGTGCAAAAGGGTACTTTACTTTTGAGCCTAATATGAGTTTCGGTTAGTTTCTATAGGAACGGCATGGGTACAAAATCTGAAAATGTATATTTTAGCGGTACAAATTATGTTACTTTCATTACAGGAGTAACTATTGATTCTGCTCTTGCAAAAGGATACTTTACTCTTGCGCCTAATATAAGTTTAGGTTAATTTCTATAGGAACGGCAGGGTACAAAATCTGAAAATGTATATTTTAGGGGTACAAATTATGTTACTTTTATTGCAGGAGTAACTACTGATTCTGCTTGTGCAAAAGGGTACTTTACTCTTGAGCCTAATATGAGTGTACGTTAGTTTCTATAGGAACGGCAGGGATACCAAATCTGAAAATGTATATTTTAGCGGTACAAATTATGTTACTTTTATTGCAGTATTAACTATTGATTCTGCTCGTGCAAAAGGGTACTTTACTTTTGAGCCTAATATAAGTTTGGGTTAATTTCTATAGGAACAGCAGGGGTACAAAATGTGAAAATGTATATTTTAGGGGTAAAAATTATGTTACTTTTATTGCAGGAGTAACTATTGATTCCGCTCTTGCAAAAGGGTATTTTACTCTTGAGCCTAATATGAGTTTAGGTTAGTTTCTATAGGAACGGCAGGGGTACAAAATCTAAAATGTATCTTTTAGGGGTACAAATTATGTTACTTTCATTACAGGAGTAACTATTGATTCTGCTCGTGCAAAAGGGTACTTTACTCTTGAGCATAATTAGGTTAGTTTCTATAGGAACGGCAGGGGTACAAAATCTGAAAATGTATATTTTAGCGGTACAAATTATGTTACTTTCATTGCAAGAATAACTATTGATTCTGCTCGTGCAAAAGGGTACTTTACTCTTGAGCAGAATTTGAATTTAGGTTAGTTTCTATAGGAACGGCAGGGGAACAAAATCTGAAAATGTATATTTTAGCGGTACAAATATTACTTTTATTGCAGGAGTAACTATTGATTCTGCTCGTGCAAAAGGGTACTTTACTTTTGAGCCTAATATGAGTTTAGGTTAGTATCTATAGGAACGGCAGGGGTACGAAATCTGAAATTTTATACTTTAGTGTTACAAATTATGTTACTTTCATTGCAGGAGTAACTATTGATTCTGCTCGTGCAAAAGGGTACTTTACTCTTGAGCCTAATATGAGTTTCTATAGGAACGGCAGGGGTACAGAATCTAACAATTTACATTTTAACGGTACAAATTAGGGTACTTTTATTGCAGAAATAACGACTGATTTTGCTGTTTAAAAGGAATATGAATTTAGGATAGTTTCTATAGGAACAGCAGGGGTGCATATTCTGAAAATTTATATTTTAACGGTACACATTATGCTGTGTTTTATGCAAAAATAGCAATAGATTCTTTTTCTGCAAAAAGTCACTTTTTTTTTAATTGTAACAGATTTGGATTTATTTGAAATTTGTTTCAGGCAGTTTGATTAAATAAATTAGGTTTCTTTAATGATACATATTGGTACAAAATCAGTTCTTTTTAATTCTACCTTTGTATTGTTAAATGTGGTCCTGCTAGCCTAATACTAAACTAGAAGCACCATGTGTTTTTTTGTAAACGGTACACAGTACGAAAAATTTATTGGTAGTACAAATTGGTACAAATTTAGTTCCTTTTAATTCTACTTTTGTTTTGTTTTATTTTATTTTTTTAATGTGGTCCTGCTAGCTTAATATTAAACTAGAAGCAACATGTGTTTTTTATAAACGGTACATAGTACAAAAAATTGATTAGTAGTACAAATTGGTACAAATTCAGTTCTTTTTAATTCTACCTTTGTTTTATTTTTTATTTTATTTTTTTAATGTGGTCCTGCTAGCTTAATATTAACCTAGCAGCGCCACGTTTTTTTTTTTAAATGGCACATGGTACAAAATTTTTATTGGTGGTACAAATTAGTACAAAATAGGTACTAAATAATGTAATAGATTTTATTTGATTCTGCCCATTTGGTCCTGCTAGCTTAAGAGAGGTGCAAATTTTTACCAGAACACGGCGTTCTTTTTCTGTGATAGTACGAGGTCGGCCTAGACTTTTACCACGAACGTCAACACTAGCTGTCTCCATATTTTTTAATAATATCCCCGATCGTTTATTTTGCAATATTTAAATCATTCGAAATTTTTTACATTGATTTACTTCTGTGGTACTGAGAAATTATAATTTCTCGTAGTTTTTTGTTTGTCGCAACTCCACACGCCATTTTCTTAAAAATGTATATCAAAATTTGACGGATAAACCTTTAACTGACAGCTAATGACCAAAGCACACTAGATTTATCCGTAAATGCATCCATATTACTGATTTCAAAGCCAATAAAAATTAGCGTCCAAATATTTATTTGTCGGCAAATTTGATCAAATTGGGGAACTTTGTTATGTAGTTTATACAAAATAAAAAAGTATTTCCTTACGATCAGATTTTATGTTAAGTAAAGAGTATGTGACTTGATTGTCCTCTCAGGAAAAAAATGTTTAAAATAAACATAAATATATTTTTTAATTTTCTTACGTTGTCCGAACATATAGTTGTTAGGGCTCGTAGTGCTATACCATTAATTAAAGTTACCTGATGTCAAGTTAATCCAATGTGATTTGCTAATATGGTTTGATGCTGAAGTGTTTCAAGTCAGAGTTCACAATTTATTAAACGTTAAAACCATTTGCTCACAACGTATCTCATTAATATCAAATTTCACACATATTAATTTGCCGGGAAAATTGCATGGCATAAATCCTCGAGTCTATGTAGATCCCATCTTATATGTGGTGCTTAGTGTGAGATTAACTAACTGTTGCATCTGCCAGCAAACAAAGGCCTCGTTCGTATTTATGCTTATGCCTTCTAATGTTCTTTCGAAACTTCTGGAAGCGTGGTCTCACGTGGCTTTAAGTTTAGGAATTTTAGTGAAAAAACTATACAGGGCCAGACTTATAGGGATTTCTCTAAAACACTAAGTTCCAGTCAGTTACAAAATAAATTTCAGAAGTTAAGCAACCAGTAATATTTGTCGATGAATTTCATGTTACCTATTTGATCGTGCAAGAAAATTAAAATTAAAATAATAGGAAGATTAGGAATTAAAATAAGGGAAAAATAGGAAACTAAGTACAAGATAAATAAGGAAAAAGGTAAAATAAATAAACTGCAAAAACAGAGATACAAAATTATTTATTTACAATGTTATATTTATTATTTACATATTTCACGAATCTTTATTTTTATATTTACAAAAAAACATCAAAAAATCAAAATTAAATCGAGTAAATTTTTCAATTCCTCATTTTCTCCTGATCATAATACGGATATAACTTAAACTCGGTCGCTTTCTTTCCATCTACGAACAAATACGAATTGCAGCATTCCGTGCACAAAAAAACACGCTCTTGTGGGAAACGGTCGCATTCGGTCACCATCCAACGGCATACGCGCATCGTGCAAAGCAGGCATAAGATGTTGGAGGCGCGGTTGAACGATACGACTTTAGGATATTCATTCGTATCCAAGCAATCGCTGTTTTGTACCAAACGGACGTCAGAGAAGACGAAAATGTGCTCGCAATCAGCTTGGTGGATGTACACGTACGGGAAACCCAAACGGGGCGACAAGCTCGATAGGAGAGTCTATGAAGTAAAAAAAAAAAAAAAAATCATGTAGTTAAGCCGTCAAATAAGTCAATCGGAATCTGTTAAATGTCGTTCATGTAAAATGTCATTTAATTCTCCCCTCTTTCCAACCCACTTAATTCTTTCTTAAAGCCACCAATGCAGTATCGGTGAAATAAGCCATCCCAAGCATGTGCTAGAATAAAGTATTTTATTCTCTGGTATCTTTAATGTTAGATGAAGAGTAACTACGGTAATTTTTTTGTTGAATCCCAATTTTGTCATTGTAAATGTTTTTTATAGGATCCTAAACGCTTAGAACAGTGGCAGCATATATATCGTTCCGATAAAGCACTTTCTAGAGATGATGCTGTTCTACACTCTTCAGAGGATATTTCCAAATATTATGACTCTTTTTACTGATGGTACTGTTACCAAATTAAAAAGGGGAAAGTCGAAATTAAAGGATGAGGTAATGCCATGTACGTTCCAAAATCTTCCTTTATGCTTGTATTATACCAAATTTCACCATTTAACAAACCTTTTCGAATTTGGTCATACTTACCTAATTTGTAATATATATATATATATATATATATATATATATATATATATATATATATATATATATATATATATATATAGATAAAATTACATAATTTAACAATTAAAACATGCAAGACTTATTTAGAAATAAATACAACAGTATGCCCTGTGTTTTATTTAGCAATAAACAAGTTTATTTTTATTATTTTCACAAAATTATGTAAAATTCCCATAAGAAGCTCCCATGCGATGAATTATAAAAGCTCAATTAGCGTTCGTTTTTTAGGACCGATTCGCTTGCTTATTTCTAGTCTTCATAGTTCAAATTTAGCAGGAAATACATAATTTATCAGAAAATTCAGGTTAACTTCATTAGATTCAACTTTAGTATTTAGAAAGTAAACAAAAGTTCGATACCAATATAACGATGACCAGCATTACTGGAGAAAAAACTCGATATCTAAGCGTTCGGGCTTCAGGCGTTTATTCGTTCGTTTGAACATATTAAAATGTAATAAAGAAAACCTTACAATTATAGGCTTAAATAAGCTCAAAACAGCTCAAAAAACAACCATATAATTGATTATAGCTATAACAATATAACGTAACAGTCTCGTAGTGGAAAGTACGAAGGTGTAGATATTAGAGAGTTATTGCAAGTTCACTTAAGGTCAGTCACTATTAGTGCCGCTCTTATTTTGAGATCTGAGCTTGCGCAGATCACTAACTTTAATAAAGATGGTGCCTGTCCTTAATAAAATAGTTATTTCAAGTTCACTTAAGGTCAGTCACTATTAGTGCCGTTCTTATTTTAACATCAAAGCATGCGCAGATGTTTATGTTCTAAAACTAACTTTATTAAGGATTGTGCCTGTCCTTAATTGTGGATGTTTAAGGGCAGCAGGTAGTGGCGACTTTATAGCTTTCGGATACGCTCTCCGATATTCGTATCCGTTAGAAGTTTTCTAATATTAAATATTTAATATAATCGTCATTTAAACCTTCTAAAATTATAATTTCTAATGCCTCTTTAATATTATGTACTATTATAGACAACAAAAAAGATGGACTATAATTTAAAGTTATTAAAATAAGTTTAGAAATAAGATAAGGACGAGGATTCTAATGTCAAAATTTCAGGTTTGCAATAAGTCTTATTTTAGCATGGAATTTATTTGACTCTAATTACGATGTCACTATTAGTGACTGGCTTTATAGAAATTTGCAATATCTCTCTATTAAGGACAGGCACAATCTTTATTAAAGTTAGTGATCTGCGCATGCTCAGATGTCAAAATAAGAGCGGCACTAATAGTGACTGACCTTAAGTGAACTTGCAATAACTCTCTAATATTTAAATCGGTCATTTAAGAAAGTCACAAATTTTACATATTCCAAAAATGGCAGATTCTTATTGCTTACAATTCGATACACATTCCAACGAGAAATACGATTAGTCGTAGCACTCCTTGTATTAAATTTTCAAATGTCAAAACCTGCTTTACTTGAGAAACCCCATAAGTCGCTGACTAATGGTGTTTCTCTAATACACGCTGCACACGAGCTAATACAATCAGCTGTCTCAGATTGACTGAAAGACATGCTTCGAACGGTGTTTCAGCTCAAATAAACAAACTAAGACCGACATAAGGATCTTCGAAAATTGTGAACTGTATTAAATTATGTTGAAAATACCTGTGCGATCCGTAAGGATGGAAGGATTAGTGCTTGGGTGAAAACATTACATTCTAATTACATACTTTATTTTAAAACACTATTGAAACTATGTTAATTTTATTACATGCTTCATTTACAAAAAACTACATACTTTTTACACTATATACAGACTTTTCTTCGAAAATTTGTTACTTAAGCACTCAAGCCATCTTTTGTACCGTAGAACGATGTTTTGAGTTTGAGATGTACTGAAGCTCTGCCGGGAAAGTAGTTGTTTAGCCAGATTTAGAGTGAAGCTTGACGTTGACCAATTAGGAAGGTGGCTATCGCCGGGATCTTTAACCAATGAGGGCGATTGCCAGGTGTGGATGACCAATGAGAAGTGGACAAGAAGGGAAGGACACCTGTGACGTAGCTATTAGATGAGATACCGTTCTTATCGGCCAAGGCAGTGTCGCAGAGACGTCTCCAGGAGTAAAAGGCAGTGCGGCTTGCACAGACATATCCAGGAATAATAAAGAATTGAGAATGAAAGCTTAGTGTAATGTTGAATATAATTCATAAGAAGTATCACAAGATAAAAATATATCACTTAAAATAAGTCAGTATGTGCATTTTAAACATTTTTTTGAAAATGAAGTAGTTCTGACAAAATCTTCTATAGATATGATCTTGTCAAACTAAGGCAGTATCTTCCGGAATGAGAAGACGTAGAGAATTTTATAACGATAACTATAACTGGCCGACTGTTGATAAATATGAGGTTTTAGATGAAATTCTAAATTAAATAAAAATATTGTTAAATAAACATATTATTTCATCAAAATATGTAGTTTTATTGTCTAAATAAGTTAAAATAATATCCGTGTATTTGAGAAACCCCATAAGTCATGATTTTCAAAAAAATTGTTTTGATACTATCAATCTCGCAATTTTAGAAAAAAAAAGCCATACGATTTAAGAAAGTTTTTTTTTTTAATTTCCCAAACTTTTACTTTTCTGACTTATGGTGTTTCTCAAATGATGGATTCATTTATATAACACTAATCAAAAGTGGAAAAGTATATTGCGCAAGCGCGAAATTAAATTGAAAAATTTGGCTGAATTGCTGACAAATGAAGGCAAGATATAGTTAAAAAAAGAAAAAGCGACAAATGGCTTCTGACTTTTATATGTTTTGAGTGAGTGAGTGAGTGAGTAAGTGAGAGAGAGAGAGATTGAGAGATGGAGAGATAGAGAGATTTCATACGAATAGCGTTCTGTGGATAGTCGTCTCAACACGTGCCGATTTGAAAGATGAGAATCCCAATGCAGGTAGCACAGGACGTTGTAGGGACGTCAAATTCATGTCCATTTATCGTTTGTACGTCCAGGACAAATTCTGTACGTTTTAAGTATGTCAAGTTTAGTAAATCCTCGGGACATCAAGAAATAGATATCCGCAGAACGTCAATTCTACGTGCTTTACTATATTTCCATGGTTTGGATGTATTTTACAAATCCTTTTCCTAAAAAATACAAATACAAATGCAAATATTGTTCCTAAAGTGTTTTGAAAATGCATCCAAGATAGAAAATTGTATTCTATGCCCAGGGTCTATCAAACAACAGTTTCTGGGAAAATGTAAAAAGACTTAAAGAAAAGGGAACGAAATATTATTTTCCTACGACCACTTAGGAAAGTGACACATATCACACTATATAGACCTATGGAAAGTGCCCTATATCACACGCGTATGAATAAGAATTTACTTTCCACCCAAGTGAGAATATGCTACTTTCCGCAGTAGCTGTCAGAAAATGTCAAACACATAATTTCTATTTTGATCTATGTAATGTCCATATTAATACTAAAATCGATATGATTGTTAAATTATTGTAAATTAGATCCTAGATATTTATCTTTAACAATTATTTTTAAAATAATTTTAAAATAACTAAGATATATTTGCTTTTTATTCTGGTTAAACACATAAGCGATTAGATCAATCAATTACCGTAAGGCCTGTTAGCTCAGTTGGTTAGAGCATCAACTTTGCAATTTGAGACCGTCCAACGACCGCGATCGAATCCTGGCTGTGCCAGAATTTTTTTTTTATTTTTTTTTTATTTTTTTTTTTATTTTTTTTTATTTGTTTAGAAATTATGAAAATTTAATAAATACGATTATTGTTGATTATTTTTTTAAATACATTTTAATTATTATAATAATCTGGTTTTACATTTTTTGATGAAATTATTTTGTGGTCGTAGGAAAAATATTGTACATCACTTGTGTGAAAAGTGATTTTCCACACTCGTGTGATAGTCGCACTCGGCTTACGCCTCGTGCGACAATATTTCCCACTCGTGTGAAAAATGTCACTTTCCACACTCGTAATGTAATATACTATTCCAGTTGTAGTGAGTATACGTTATACTTTTCTATTAGGTATTTTCAAGGTCGACTACTTTTCCGGACATGTCCGTCGGAATTACTTTTCATAAAAAGTCAAATAATGAATTATTAGAATCAATTTCCTCTGTACAGATTTTTTTATGTTTATCATTCATTTTGAAACTTGCAAAACTGAAAAGTTATAAAGAGATGAAAACCAACAATGAAACAAATATTTAATTTACTTAGTTACTTTTGATTTTAACAGACCTCAAAAAAAAATCCCTAGAACTATCTACTTCCTAGTAAAACCTCGTTTATTTACGGATGATGGAACAAATAAAATCGATATTAAAATGAATGGGAAGTTAATGATGATTGACAGTACCAAACGTCATTTTTTAGGTAAAACTTTCGATCATGTATTAGTATAGATATGCATTACTCATGGAAGTAGTGCGTTTAATGATTATCAAGACGGGGAGAGAGGAAATGTAGACAAACGGAAAACTTGACAATGCCGTACCGTATGGAAGGGGTTATATATTTTTAATTATATATAAACTGCTAGATGAAAGCAGATAGACATGATTTTAAAAATAGTGTTTTATGGTATATTTTTAACTTTCATAGTAATTTAATATGTTACTACATAGACCATGCACATGCTTGACCTTTTGTATATAATTTATATTAAATTGTAGAGGATTATTAATTTTATACTTTAAGCAATTTGTATACATTTTGTGTAAATATACCTTCTATAAAGCTTGACTGATGAAGGAGAAAAGAAAATAGAAAAATATTGTCACGAATCCGTTTTCTATGTGAAGCAAGAATATTATGCATATTTCTGACTAAATACCTTCCTTTATAAAATTAAAATAAAATAAAAACCAATTAAATCAATTTTATTTATCAACCAAAAATAGTACGGTGATTAATAAACTTTATTATTTACAAAGTATTGTAGCAAAATTTTGCCCCTCAGAAGTTACAGGGAACAGAAGAAAAAATAATGTTATTGTGTTTGTTCTCTATTTTAACAATTCTAACAAAGCATGAAGTGGTGTGACTGATTAAAATGGGTAGCGTCGATTAAAATTGCCTGATAATATATTTTTAAATACCTATAATAGGAATTCCTAATAGGTTTTATTTGGATAGATGGTTATTTTTTATAAATTTAAATGCAAATGAAAACCTGTAATAGATAGGTATATTTTATTTAAAAATTAAGTTCCATATTAAATATAATTAAAAATAAGCTTCAAGATTTATATTTTAAGACTATTATATTTTTTTTTTTAATATTTATTATTTCTATAATAATATGTAAACAACTTATTTGAAATTGGTCGGTATTAGATACCATAAGTATTTAGTAAGTAGTCGACCTTGAGCATAGAAGACACACAGTTAAATCTCCATCCTGGATGTTTTTTCAAAAACACTTTGGGAACAATATTTGCACTTGTATTTTCGTTTTATTAGGCAAATCATTTGTAAAATACTTCCAACCTTTGGATTTTTTGGTATTTTCTTCACGAGTTTATTTTAATAAGATATGAAACGAAAATTCGAAAACATCGTTAAAACATTATAAAAGTCAGTAAACATTTGTCGATTTTTCTTTTTTAAACTATAATTTGCCTTTAATTGTTAGACTTTCAGACAAATTAGTTGATTTAATTTCGCGCATGTGCAATACATTTTTCCACTTTTGAAAAGTGTGTTTGGACTAGACAACTTTTCAGACTAGTCTGTCGAACTTGTCCGTGGACTTTTCCAAGCCACCCAACACTAATATCTACATTATTTACATTTCATTAGATTGATTTTGACATAACCTACCTGTGAAAAGAGGGAGCATTGGTTTTGGTCCAAAATTTTCGGAAAATTATTCATCTCTTTACTTTTTTGAAATGTCTAATCACGTTTGTAAACAAGTTCTTTCAAAAAAATTAAATAAAAAAGAATATTCCACTAAAATGAAACACTGAACATCATTTTTAAAAACATACACAAACAGAGTTGCCAAATGTTTAGTTAAAATATAGTATTTAATGGTTATCGTAGTGAACAAAATCTAAAAAATCTAATTTAAATGCCGATTCAATGCAGAAAAAAAATTACATGAGAAATTTGATGAATATGATCCAGATTCTTGAATAAACTGTTAAATATTCAGCTCCATATTAAGTATCTTGAACCTTAAAACATTAGGATCTAATCATTATTATCCTTATACGTTTAACCGAAAGAGACACTGTGGCAACCCCTTCTAGTACCACCGTTTGTTGTCCACGCGATTGTGGACCTTATTAACATACGACAATTGTTTATGTAAACAAGGACTATCTATCCTAATACATGATCGAATGTTAAAACGCCTTAATTTTTAATTCAAACGTCATCTATTAAAGTCAAACGTCGTCTAAATATGTTAAGCAGAGATAAGGGACATAAAGATAGGAAATGCTCATAGGAAGGATATGCTTAACAACGACCAGCTCGAAAGCATGCAATTTAAACATGATAATTGGATCAAATGTAATAAAATTACAACAAAAATGCCGTATCGTTATTTACATAGATAAAATGTTTTTCATAAAAAAAACTGGTAAAAATACGATTTAGAAACATAAACTAGTTACGACAAAGTGTAAATTAGTCATATACTTATGTCAATATCATTTATTTGTATCATCTATATAATTCAATGCAAAAGTTTTAAATACTGGGCTAAATGCCATCTTTTTATATTAAACGTCATATAAATATGTTAAGCGGTATCTAATTCTGTGCCGACGTTAAAACATTGCGATAAATCTTCATAAAATTGTGACATACATCATCTAATTGTGTCAGACGTAATTGCATTATGTCAAACGTTGAAAATATCGTACAAAAATGTCAAAAAAAATCATTTTTAGTCTTCTATGGCATAAAAGTGTTACACAATTGAATTACATAAAACCAACATATCAAAATAGTCAATTAATTTAAAAAATCTTCATCTAATTATGTCAAATGTATCTGACTTTTGTTGATGGTCGAAAATAACAAAAAACTTGCAAAAATATCATTATTGTACGGTTTAAATGAATAAAAAGTAATCTAAGAAATAAATATGTTAAAAATATGAAGTTGCAGGAATACAAATTGCCAAAAAAGTAAATTAATTATAACAAAACGTCAAAAATATAAATCAGTCATAACAAAATGTAATTTAAACATGACAATATCATAAAATTACATCAAAAATGTCGTATTAAATTGATATTAACGTCATTTTCGTAAATTAAATAACGTCTTATCATTGTATTTAGATAAGATAGTAGAACAACCTTATGGAGGCAATTCTGTCGCAATATCTGTTAGAAGAAGTACAGAACTTCATCAAAATGGCCCGAGATCGCTAGCGCCTCCTCGATTATTGAGTATAGAATTCTATATACATAAAGTGTTTTTAAATTTTAAATTCATTTGGGTAGATCGCCAAATTTAAATTAATATTGTTTATATTCTCTAAAATTATGATAAGTCGTAAATAAATGTTCATCAAGCATAATTAAACTCGTTTATCTTATTTTTAAAACAAATATTCTGAATCGACTATCAGTCCATCTATTAGTAAATAGAGAAATTACGTTCGTTATTCAGTTTCGACAACCGTTCGATGGCTGGGTAGAAGACGACAAAATTATCAAAGACATGACTTGGACACTACAGAGCTTGCTGCCATCTATTGATACTGTACATCGTCCTTCAAGCTAATTTGCACTGGTATTGTTCTACTAGTTGATCTAAATACAATGGTCTAATTAAATAAACTGGTAAAAGTATGATTTAGACAAAGGCAATAGGTCAAAAACAATCAAGTACGCATAACATATGGTTAAAAACATAATTTAGTCGTGACAAGTGTCATCTAATCGTGTCAATGTTATTTATTTGTATAAACTATATAATTCAATGCAAACGTTTTTAAAATTGTGATAAACGTCATCTAAATATGCCAATCGTTCTCTAATTGCGTGCAGATGTCAAAAAGCATTGTGTCACAAGTCATAGAATTCTGTCAAAAGTCGAAAATACCATACAAATTTTTATTTTTTTATTTTCTAGGACATGCAACTGTTTAAACATACGCATTACAGAACTAAAATGTCAAAATAGTCAACTGCATATAACAAGCGCCATTTAAGTGTGTCAAATCTTAAAGATATCGGGGGGCCACCAGAGTTTGTGTATCTGGCTTCCCAGTCGTTAATTTGAGTATTTAGATTCCAAACTCGGTTAATCAGAATCTTTTTCAATTCTTCAACTGTAGTGGCATCGTCGAAGATACATTACATCAAATATGATTGAAGTGTGTCAAACGTCAAAAATGTTATCATGGAACTTAAATAATTAAAAAGTTTTTTAGAAATAAAACTGTTAAAAATGTGGATTTAAAGGAAGCTAAATTGACAAAAACGTTAAATAGTCATGACAAAATATAAAAAATATAAATTAGTTCTAAAAAAATTAATTTAATCATAATATCGATGGCTCAATCAAATACTGCCACAACTCAAAAACTATTGTTTCGAGAAATTTCATTTTGAAATTTGTAAGTCACTATTATCATTATTTTGTTTTTGACATAAAATCTTTATATTTCATTTAACAGTTTCGATATTTTGCTGTTAAAATTAATGATTACGATTATAAAAGCGAGTCATTACATAGTTTGTAAAAAATTTGGTTGTTTTTGCAGAAAATAACTCGAATTGAGTCAGTTTTAGACACAGTCTGTGACTAGATTTTAAATGATTTTTGGGCATATTTAAGGATATTTTTATTTGTGGCGGTATTTAAACCTTAATTATATTTTGCATCCATTGGACCAAAAATGTATTTTTTTTTGTTTTTTGACTTGTGGCAGTTTTTGATTGAGCCATCGATATATATCGTCTAATTGTATCAAAAGTCATTAAATTCTGTTAAACGTCAAAATGCTGTATTAAAATTGTATAAACGTCATTTTCTTAAGGTTAAAATTCCTTGAAAAACAACAATTTGTAAAAATTCAATTTAAAGAAGGCAAAAATGTTGCCAGGTAAATTTTAAAATGATTAAAATGTATTATGGGACAAAAAATAATTTAAAACGCCAAAATAACAAAAATATCAAAGTACAGAACATAGTATTTTTTAACCTACCTCCTGCATTTTTGCTGTAGTAAACTTTCCAATGTTCTTCTCCCTTGCCCATTTAATCACTTCCGGCGAAAGGTCAATACAATCAGGATTTCTGGTATCGTTATAAAACACGCCATCTATGAACACCGTTTGAGACGGATACCATTTCTACATAAACAAATAAAGAAGAATCAAATCAAGACATTTATGATACGAATAACCAACATAGTTAAACCAGTGGCTCAAGCAAATGAACAATGACAATTCTACTCGCTTATCAATTTGGCCGCTAGATGCCGCTACCATTCGTGACATTTGACGTTAAACGTCACGAACCGTTATCGGTGCCATTTAGTAGAATCGATGCATGATGGTAGAATTACCATTCATATTTTCTCGCTTCTTTCTTTCTTACTTATCGTAGGATATTCTCCTTCTTTATCTCTTAGAAAGGATGTGAAAGCAAAAGGACAGTTAATGATCGTATCGGGTGACAAAAACGGAATAGGAAGGGAAAAGGTAGAGAAATATCTTTCTAGATGAGAAATTAAAAACAAAGGGAATTTTAAAAAGAGAATCACAAGAAAATTTTAAAAAAGGCACTAAGAGCTAAAGACGTCGGCAAAATAAAAAGGTAGGACAAAAGAACCGGAATAATAGATTGACTTCTTACCTTCGCATTTTGAAACTGAGTCAAATCCACCGCTGTGTTCTCCACTTCCTTGATGACGGCCGAATCGCTTATGCATTCGATTGCGTCCACTATTTGCGATAGAAAATTGGTGCCCAATGCTTCAATTTCGTAGGCAAATCTCAGCTTCTCGGCCGAATGTCGCTGGCCCTGATGTATGGTTCTCGGTTTGTATATCAAAATGGAAAACAAGAAATCGATGCCCGGTTTTACGTTGTTTTGCTTTTTGAACTGCTCACTCACCTGGAATGGTATTTAAGGCTGTTATGTATTGTTTAAAAGGAAACCCCTAAATATAAAAAATTTACTGGTCACGTGTTACTACAAAAAGTTGTTGTTTGTTGTTGCTTTATCGAAAAGAATTCAATGTTTAAGGTTTTTTTAGAAAAGGTACAAAATAAAACATTCATTTAAAAGGCGCCCGAAAGCAAAAAATAATTAATAAATGATTGACATCCTCGACCTTGGACCTACATTCGTCTTGCAGAGGTGAGGATTCCGGTTCTACTGAAACATTTTTTTTCTACATCACGACATTATAGTGTAATAATTGTCATTATTATTGAAAAATATAAAGAATTTACCAAAAATTCTAAAAAAGTATTTTTAATGTTTTTAAATTAAAAAATCAAAAGCAAACACGTGTATGGAAATAAAACAAATAATCAGGTTATTACTCCAGTCAATGGCTTACATTGAACTAGGGAATTCAAGGTATAACGTGGGCAATCTAACAAGTACTACTATCAAAATTTTGGGTTTATATGAGACTTGACAGAAAGAAAAAGACTAGAGTGAGGACTGAAGTCCAAAACTCTTGTTTCGGGGCCTTAAGTTCCGAAACAAAGTAATGTGTAAAGTAAAGTTTTTGTGCAGCGATTTGTGAACTATGGGTAAATATCTTTATCTTATTTTTAAAGTGTTTTGTTTGAGATTTTTGAGTTAGATATAAATACCAATTTTACATATTCGTCCCGAGTATTATATTTATCTTATATATTTTTTTATATTATTATATAGCTAACGTTTCCATTGCTATTTTTAGTTGTTAATAAGTCCAAACTATATAATTCAATAGGAAGTTTATCTAGTTGTAAATAATCATAATCATAAATCATAGGTTTTTTTTTATTAAAAGTTTGTTTCATTTATTCTTGACACTATTGGTCAATTTTGTACTTATTTTAAATATACATTTGTTAATGTTTTAATACTTATTATTAATCTCTCATTCTCTTTCCAAAACCAGTGAGATATTCCGAGCATTTGAGATGCCTCGGCGTTTCTATTCCCCTAGGACTAGAAGAGTATAAAACTAGTTGCCAAGAACCGCTCGATTATGCTATTAAGAGATAATTTTTGTTCTTTTAATTTAATTTACTTATTTGCCACTGTTGAATGGATGTTCCTTCTGGACTCCAGGACCCTTTGGCTGGTGACAGTGCTGCCTTAATCCCTTAATAGTATATTAACAACAGTAGCTGAAGACCGATCAGTGATTACAAATGTCTTTAGACAGTTGGTTGTTACAATTGCAAATGATATGACATTAACATACTTTGACCCTAATAAAATTACTATTTTAGTAACGAAGGATTAGCAGCAATATTATCACAAAAAGAAGGAAAGGAAGAAAAGCCCACAGCATGTGCATCAAGAACACTAATGCCGAATGAAAAATCACATGCCGTAATCGATTTGGAAGCAGCACCAGTTATATTTGGACTCAAACGTTTTAGTCAGTATCTACAGGCTAGGAAATTCATTATAAGGGTGGACCACGAACCATTAATATGATTATATGGTGAAAACAAGGGAATCCCACAGCGACATAGAGATAAATTACAGAGATAGGCAGTCTTTATGTCAGTATATGACTATAAAATAGAATATGTACAAGGTAAATTAAATTATTTTGCCTATTATCTGAAATACCACTAAAACCAGTAACTTTGTTAGATAAAGATGAAACGTATATAAATTTTATAGAAAAATGCTTGGATTGGCCTGTAGATAATGATAGGATAGAGCAAGAAACGGAAAATTGTAACATTTAAAAAAAAATTTGATTATATTACTAATAATAAATAGTCAGAAAAAAAGACAATGGAGGAAATAATACCTCAACAGAAGAGAAGAGCTAGATATAGAAAAAGGATTAATATGGTGGAGACGGCATGTAGTTATACCCGAGACATTGAAGAAAATCATGCTAGAAGAACTTCATGGAGGGCACTTGGGTATAGTAAAAGCCAAAAAAAGAGCTAGATCACATCTGTGGTGGCCTCATTTAGATCAAGATAGAAAAAAGTTAACATTATGTATAGGATGTTCAAAAACGCTGTCAGACCCCCGAAAAATAACCTGACATCGTGGCCAGTAGCTACAAGACCATGGGCCAGGATCCATATAGATTTTTAGTTCCAGTACGCAATAAAAATTTGCTGCTGGTAACAGATGCATATTCAAAATGGTTAGATGTTTTTATAGTAAGCTCTGTGACAGCTATGGATACAGAAATTAAACTAAGAAAGCTTTTTGCAGATTTCAGGTTGCCGGATACAGTAGTATCAGATAATGGTAGAGTTTTCGTGTCAGAACAACTGGAAGGTTTCTTCAAGAAAAATGGCATATGGCATATCACCACGCCACCATCAACCCATCATCAAATGAGCAGCAGAAAGGAATGTACAAACATTCAAATACAAACTTAAAGCAGCACTAGAAGAACTAAAGACAAAGAAGGTTAAACTAGAGATCCTCATTTCAAGATTTTTATTACAAAACAGAAATGCGGAACATAATACTACTAAAAGTACACCAGCATACTTGATGTTTGGAAAGAATTAGATCTGGTAAAAGAAAGCCAAACAACAAGGCTAAAATGGAGGGAGAGCCACATAAAAGCACATGAAGAGCAGAGGTCTACAAGGAAGAGAGAGCGAGAATTACTGGAAGGTGAGACAGTGTGGGTGAGAGACTATAGAGAAATAAACAATAAAAAATGGACAGAGGCCATATTAAAACAAAGACTGGGCAGAAGTGTCTATTTATGTCGGATAGAGAGCGGTAAAAAATGGAAAAGACATATAAACCAAATAAGAACAAGACTAGAGGAGAAAGAAAATAACCAACAAAAGTTTAATATTTTCAAGTGTCAATAGGCCATAATAACAGGTAACAGAAAGGTACGGATACAGGCCCTTAAAAATAAAATTGGTCTACACACAATAAACAATACTAAAGATAATATTTTAAACAGTTTGGATGAAGTTACAAACCCAACTCCCCAAACTGAGGAGGTAGGTAAATCAGTTACATTAGTTGAGGGTAATATAAAGGATAGTGAACAGGTATCTCTCCCCCCTAAACGGCAAAGAGGAAAACCTATTAAACTCAATGAGTATGAATTAAACTAGATGTGGAGGTATGTTGTGTATTTGAATATCCCGCACATATGTGTGAACGAACTTTGCCGAACTAGTTGGGGAAACGACACTTGGATGCGACAGTTGAAATATAAAAAAGTATCTTGTCATCGTACATTTTAAATATTTCTATGTAAAACTAAAACAACTCTGGTTAACTAATTTTAACTTCTACAATTCTTAGATAAGATAAATGTTGAATAGGATATAAGTATTGATTTGTATTAACCATGTAATAATGCATGTGTCTGGTCATAAATAAATTAAATAAATATAATAAGAAATTGGCGGCTTGAGTCTTATTGGGGGCCAATTATATTTTCTAACATCATAAAAGATTTTTTAAAGAAATACAATAAAAAAATTCGTACTTACAATCTGTTCCTTGTCTTTTATGAATCTTTTTCCATGAAATTTGAACTCCTGAGCGGTCCACCTCTTTTCTAGCGTCTCCTTGGAGATTATTACATTCAATTTGCGTGCTTGGTCTGTTATGGGATAGTATTGATCGAATTTCATTTTTGTGTGCACTTTATCAGGCACGGCCATCGGCAAATTGGCAGGTTCGTCCGAGAGTCTAAGATTTTCATGACTGAAAAAAAATCCCTATTACAATAAAAAATATACAAAAATAATTTAAAAGATAATCCATTCATTTACAACTTTCATTTTAAACACAAACAACAATATCAAAGTCAGTCAAATGACATTAAGTCGACTACGGTAGCGTAGGTGTATACAGCGGTTTCATTCATTTGCAAGCCTATTTTTTGGAAGAGAGTAACCGGATTTCGAATCCTACAGCAGACCATGCGTATTTATTTGCATAGTTCTCTATAGGATTTGATGGATGCCGTATTAGCAGAAATTTAATTTCTGTTGATATGACATACAGATTATAAAAAGCGTCATGCGTTACAGCTTTTGATGATAATGGGTGGGGTTTTCCTCACCTGTAAGTCAAATGGCGCCATCAATCATAAATAATAAATATTGTCTTTTCCCCTACACAAGTCGCTCAGTTAGCTTCAGGGGTTGAAATTCACTCATAAGAGGGTGAATTAGGGAGAGTATTATTATATTATAAGTAGTTTTATATTTTATTATAAAATAACAAATATAAAAAAAAATCATTAGGAATTAATGAAAATATTGAAAATATGAAGGCAGTCTATTTCTTGCAGCTTTTTTAAGATATTGGAAAATGTATCCAGACTATCCAAATTTAATGAATTTGCACTTCTTTGCACTCTTGTTAAGAGGACTAAAATAATCCATAATTATATCTGTGAAATGGAATGAAGATTAAATTATTTTGACGAGTATATCTTACAGGTATTCTAAATTGAATGGATTCTATAAGTTCAGAACAATGAATAGATCCAGAAATCACTCTGTGCAAAAAATATTAAAATTTTAGACATTTAAGATCCATTCAGTACCTCGGAGGTAAACTGCACTGTCATTCTAGTCAACTTTTCAGTAGAGTAATTTGAATGTCATTTGGACACTTTTTGTGTTCCATAATTACATATTATATTTTTCGACTAAAAATGCAGTTAAAACCCCTCTACAGGGTGTCCCGAAATTAGACTGTCATATTTTAATAGCATAATCTACATCCTAAAATTGGAGTAAAAGTTCATATAAACATAGGTCCGAAAACATTTCTTTTCCAAGCTACAGGGTGAAGTCCTGATGACACTCTTTTGTAAATATTTTCTAAAAGTTTAAAGATAAGTAAGTAAAATTTGGTACAAATGCTGAACATTTTACGCTCTATCTAATGGACTAAACCTCAGTTTTTGATCATCTTCATAGGTGGGTAAAGTAGGGGGGGCTTAGGGTAAAATTGCCCTAAGTTTTTTGTGTTGACAGTTTTTACCATTTTTGACTATAAAATTTGGAAAACTAATGTTTTCTTTATAATAAAGTTACTATTGTTGCATCTTGCTAGGACGCACCATTTTCAAGAAAAAAGCATTTGAAAATTTCAAGATAAGTTATTCGAAAGTGTAAACAATAATTAGAAATTTATTTTTTTTTTACTTTGGAAAACCAGTGACTAAAGAAATTTTAAAAAATATTTACAAAAATAGGCCATCAGGACTTCACTTGTAACACCCTGTATCTCGAAAACAAAACGTTTTCGGACCTATGTTTATATGAACTTTTATTCTTATTTTAGGATGTAGATCACGCTGTTAAAATATGACCGTCTAATTTCGGGACACCCTGTATACATAAAAACGTTTAATTAACTCCATCTTGGTACCTCATTAGGTTTATTAAAACATAATCATAGTTTCCATCTACTAATTGCAATCTGAATGCACAATGTCTTAGAAATTTGTGTTGAACATACATACATCATAAAATATAGACCAAACTGGCAAACCATATTCCTATATGGACCTAACATGAGATGAGTAAATTGCCTTAATGTTTCGAGTTCCATAAGACAAAACCTAAAATTTTGAGAGAAGCTTTATTTATTGTATGAGAAACAAATGACTGAGCCATCAAATACAATCTTGTCATATCCTTTACCAAAAGTAATAATTGTGTAACACTTGTTGATATTAAGTGACATACAGTTCTTCACAAACCAATCATGATGCAGTGCATTAATATCACTTTTTAAAAGATAACAATCATTGACACTGTTAATAGGTGTATACCTACATATTTAGGTCATCAGCAAAAAGCAGAAAACTACTATTTTGTAGAAACTATCTTCAATATATGGTAAGAACAATAATGGTCCCAAATGGGAACCTTGCGAAACCCCTAAGGGTACATCATACCGGATGGACAGAGTACCATCTATCATCAACATTTGAACTCTGTTGTCTAAATATGTAGCTTTCAAGCCAAGTCAGAAAAGCATCATAAAGACCAAGCTTTTTTAATTTAAATAGATAGTAATGAAGTGTGATTAACATGGACAAAAGCTTAACAAAAATCAGAATATGTTTTGTTAACTTGTATATTTTTATAAAATTTAGAAAGAGTATTTTGTTGACAGACCATCAGATTAGTAACTGTAGATATACACAGAGTTAAACCATGTTGTTGATTAACAATGATATTACTGCAATGCCAAGACAAAGGCCTGATGAAAAGTTCTTCAAAAAGTTTTGGTGTGATCCATAACATACTAATAGGCCTTTAATTCTATATGTATATCACACCTGCCGCCAGTTTTAAATACAGGAAGCCACAGAACTTGACCTCCATAATGTGGAAACGTATTTTAATTCTAATGACTGTTGGAATAACATATTCGCTCAGCACGAAGTGATGATAGGGGAAGCAAAAGCGATACTAGGGCTAGGGGATAATTCGTGCATTTTAGCGTAATATTTTGTAATTTTGGCGTATCAAATGTACGTATATATTTTACTTATTTAAAAAAAAATAGTTAAAAGCAATACAATGAGCAATCACCGAAGTTGCTGTGTTGTAAATTGTAAAAATAATAGCAAAAGAAACAGTGTAAATTTTATAAATTTTCAGTAGCAAAATGGAAATTAAATCAAAGAAATAAAAGTACCTGGGCCCGTTCACTTTCATTTTTGAATGTGAATTAATTATATATTTATAAAGATACTAAACTCTTTTGTCTGGTGGTACTTTTCCCGTTAAGATATGTTTGCTAGAAGTAAGGGAATTCCCATAAATTTTTTTCAGTGACTCATTGCATAAGAAAATCCCTAATTCCGTTCACGTCTCGTATCGGTTATGCTTAAAGACGGCGGGGTTGTCGGAAGTATCCCTAATATACCATTTCTGCATTTATATATGTAATTTAAATAGTAAAATTCCATTATTTTTCTAAAAATAATGAACTTATATTTTCAGATTTAAAGCTGGGAGCTTATTTTTTACTTTTTAATTAAAACAATTATTATTACTCAGGCTGAAAATTAACCAGACCATAATCAAAAAGTAGAAATTTGATTTGCAATATTAATCTGGTAAATGTGGCAACGTTGCATTTATTTCTAGAAGTGTGTGTAGACAACACTATTTAGAAGTACTTACAACGTTGTCACGTTTACCAGATACATTTTCTCAAATAAAATTTCGATCTGGTAATATTCAGCTTGAGTAATACTAATTGTTTTTATTAAAATTTAAAAAAGGTAAGGCTTCCAGCTTTATCTGAAAATATAAACACATTATTTTTAAAAAATAATATTTTTTTTATCATGTAAATTGCTTTAATAAATGCAAAAGAGGAATGGTGGTGCAATGATATATCCGACAACCGCGCCCTTTTAACTATTAACCGATACGAGACCTGAAGGGAATTAATGGTTTTCTGACGCAATGAGTCACTGAAAGAATTTTATGGGAATTCCCTTACTTCTAGCAAACATATCTTAACGGGAAAAGTACCACCAGACAAAAGAGTTTAATATCTTTATAAATATATAATTAATTCACATTCAAAAATGAAAGTGAACGGGCCCATTGCAGTAAGAAGGGAAAAGTAATTACAAACCTTTATTTTTGTAACAAGAGTATCTAATACCTATGTAAAATAATAGATATCAGAAAACTGAAAGGTTTTATACATAATTATTATTATTATTATTATTTTTAAATTTTCTTCAAAATTCCTTAAGTACAAAGGATATATTTCTGCCTGTTATTGTTATTGTCTGTATCTGGAATGCAATTTTGTGACTAACTGATTGAAAAACAGATATTTAATAATTAATTCTAAGTTTCAAACTAAAAACAAAGGAAACAAGTATAAATTACATTCGAAAATATTACAATATTACAATTATATTTTTGGGAATACATTTTGAATCCACATTTGACATTAACTTTTAACTTCATTAGGCAACTTTTCATACACTTTCTCTAAAATATTGTTGTCTAATTACCTATTCTGTGCAAATGTTTTAATAATCTTTTATTAAATATACTTACTTTTGTTTAGCTGAAGTAATAAAAATATTTAATAATAAATGAATCTTTCCACTTGTTTTATAAATCAATATACGTTTATTAAAACCAAAAAATTAATTTTTTAATTACGAATTCTATTAAAAATGATTCTGTCAATACACATAAATCGCCCTTTAGTACATATTTTAGTTGACGCTGCCGTCGCGCACGGAGCGATTATGAACAAGAGCGCTTTAGTGTAGCTCCTAGCTACTCATCGTTTCAGAAAATATGAGGTGATGCCATCAGGACCATGGCTTAATTTATCATATAAACTTAGAATTCCATTAAAAACCTCTTTGAGGAGGAATCATTTGGAATAGGAACTACATTTCTAATATTGTTGTTATCAATCAGTGGCATTACCATTTTTATCATCAATAAACATTAAATTTAATAAAATGATTCGCCTTTCAAATTCCTATAATAATTCCAGAAAAATTTTGGGTTATAATAGACTAATCAATGCAAGAAATGTAATTTACAAAACACTGTTTCTCTAAACCATGTTTTGCATTTACATTCAGATTTCACAAAATGTTATGCTGAAAGAACTGTCAAGTGTAAAAATAATAAGATGTGGGTTACTAAAGGCTTAAAAGTATCAGTGAATAATATGTATTCCCTGTACTTGATAAAAAACCATTTTTCAGATTACATGATTCTTAAATTATTTTAATAAGTATCAGGCTATCTAAAGGGCAACTGTTAAGGCTTCTAAAGAAGAATAAGTAACTCATGTAATAAGCAAAAAGAAACTTGGACAATTATAAATAATTTAACAGGAAAAAGTAATAATACAAACTCCTGGAATACATATTTATGTCCCGATACACTAAATAAATTCTACTGCTCTGTCGCTTCTAAATTATCAAACTAAATTATTAAACTATTTTACTGTTACTGAATCCGAGACTGAATCCTTTTATTTCAGCCCTACTAATCTCCAAGAAATTAAAGATACTGTTATCAGTATTAAAAACAAAAATGCAGCTGGATGGGATGGTATCTCAACTAATATATTTATGCTTTTACCTGACAATGTTCTCAGTGTATGTGCTGAAGCTATAAATGATATGGATTTAGGGGCATTGCATTGAAATGGTTTACATCGTATTTATCCAACAGATGTCTAAATGTATTACTGAATGGTAAAGTCTCATCTAGTCTTAACATTTCTGATGGTGTACCACAGGGTTCTGTCCTTGGTCCGGTTTTGTTTTAATATATGTCAATGATTTGGCTAGTGTTGGAATTAATGGACATTTCACAATCTTTGCAGGTGACATGACCATATTATGGAACAGTAAATCCATATGCATTATCTAGTAGTATATCCAGAGATATTTATTTAATAAAAGAGTGGTGTGACTCAAATTCATCATCACTAAACATTTCAAAAACAAACTTAATCACTTTTAAATGTGATATATTATCGGACATTTTTCTTGGAGAGCAAAACATTCAGACTGTAAATAATAATAAATTCCTAGGCATATATATTAATCAGGCCTTAAAATTCCAAAATCATATTATTAATTTAGGTAAACAAATGGCATCTGGATGTTTTGCAGTAAGAACAGTAGCACATAATCAATTTTCAAACTATTAAAGATATGTATTTTGCAGTCATTGAATCCCAACTAAGATATGAAATGTTTTTGGGGTTAAGGCTTTCAGGAACTATTTCATAGAATCTTTGTGCTACAAAAGAGAGCTGTCAAATTTATGTGTAAAGTTTGTGTGGAAAACTCTTGTGTAAGCCTTTGTTTCTTCAACATAATATATTAACTTTGGTTTGTAATTATATTTTAGAAACAGTATGTTTAATGCTTAAGAAATATTCGAGTGATATGTGTGCCATGTCTATATACAATACCTGTTGAATGTACTGTATCCCAATTCTACCTTGATAAAAAATCCTTATTATAAAATAGCAAAAAATTGTTTAACCACTTGCCTTTAAATATAAGAAGTATTTCTAATCAGACCATATTCAGGCAAAGGATCAAGTATCTGCTATTGGAAAAGGCATATTACACTCTTGAAGAGTTCTTTCAGGATTCATTTAACTGATTTACCATTTTTTATGTAGCTATATATTTTATAGTTTTATATATTAATTGACATAAGTAGTATCTGAATATGTAAACGTAAACATGTTTTCTGTATTTTGTAGTTTTAAATGTTATGTAAGTGTCCTATAGCTTTGTCAATAAAATGTACTTCTTCGACAATAAAGTATTTTTGATTTGATCTTAATTTGTACAAATACCCAAAGACAGCTTTATAATTATTCCATTGAAATTAAACTATCTTACTTACTTGCAGGTAGCTTCTAGAATTCCAAAATCTACTCCAATCTCGAAGAGATCTATATCTTCCGTGAAATGTAAGAAGTTTTCAATGACAGTTCGTTTGGCAGGGGGACATATTTCGCTGTACTTTTTAAAATATTCGGCAACATTAATGTTATTTGAAGCCCTGAAACCAGAGACATCATAAACTGTATCCATACTTTGTTGCTAATAAATGTTGTATACCTAAAAATTGAAAGAAAATAGGGTTAATTATTAAAACATGATTATTTAATTGGCGAAAAAGTATCGTTTTACCTATAAGTCACTTAAAATAAATTAAATCAATCGTATTATAAAGTGTTGTTCTGAAGTCCGGTTTTAATTTTATTTTAAGGTTAGTAAGTAATCAACAAAACAACCGGGCTGTCAAGTCAAAATAAATTACTTTAACTTCTAGTTATGCAACCAGCAGATATTTTTAATGTTATTGATGTTGCCTATTATTGAAAGTATTTAAACAAAAAATCTGAATACTAAACCCTAATATTTTATATATATTTATGTATTTTTAGTCCCTATTTTCAGAGACTAAAATGATACTTTACTTCTAGGGATTAAAATTTTACTAGGCATAAAATAGCGTAGAAATTAGAGGATAGAAGTGTCTTGATCTCGAGACGAAAAGTTTGGTTGCAGCCCGAGCGAAGGAGTGAAGGGCTGCATACGATTTGGACAGAAGATGGCGCGCAGTTTAACCGTAGTATGAAAATATCTTCATACAACGGTTTAACTCTTAAATAATCGATTACTTCAAGTATTTGATGATAGATGTAGTGCATATAGTTGCTAAATGTGTTGCCTATACATCGCTATCATTTTACTTTTTAATGGTTGCCTCAGTGCCGGTTTAAGGTACTTTTGAAAAAAACAAAATTATTATATTTATTAACTTCACAACATATTAGTAAAACGTAGATAAAATGGTCAAAAACAATTAATTAATATTAATAAGATAAAATACAAACAAAAATAACAGAAATGAGGTCAAGGAAAAAAGGAATGAAAACAACATACCAGTCTGAAACATAGTGCCATTCTCGTTTTTGACAATCTATACGGGGGCGGCGGGGTAGATCAGTAGTTAAGAGTCTATACCTGCGAATTTAGGGGTCCGCAGTTTGATTCCAACCGTCGGATGCGATTTTTTTATTTAAATTGTTTAAAATAATTCTGCTGACAAGGTAGGATTCCTTAGTCCTATCATTCAATGTTAGATTCTAATTCACATTGCTGTTCTTAAGTGGCGCATGGAAACAGTAACAAAGCCTACATAGAACACATTAATAAAATAAATCAAACACAAACTGAGTCTGTCTAATTTGGTAGATACCACCAAAGTCATTAAACAATTACTATTGTTAAATACATGCGGTTCCCATAGCCTCCCTAGAACCTCTCTTGATATTAAAGTGGAAATTAGCATTAACATAATCAAATATATTAGAATGTAAGTATTAAAATACAAAAGCCCAATAAACACAGTTAATCGGCATCGTAACTGGGCCGAAGTAGGCTTGCCGGATGTCGGACTCGGCCCGATATACGGGTGCAGCTTCGGCATATTGGTAGGGCACGTTCGCCCAGCCGAATGTCGACAGCTCACTACATTGTAGCCACGTTCGTATATCTATATATAGTTCGGCCCGTAAGGATGCTTCCCATGTCCGGCTAGCCAAATATTCACCGCGTTTGGCCCGTAAGGATGCCTCCCATGTCTGGAAAGCCAAATATGGACCATATGCGGTTTCTACTTCTAAATTACGTCAAATGGTATGGTCCTCCCGGCTCAGAAGCAACCCCGACAATGGCAATCTGAGTACTCGGCTTTCCCGTACATTCCGGTGTCAGGCCGAGCGAATGCCGACTATTTGTGGTTTACTGAGAGGGTAGTTTTATTATTTTTACGAGACTCACTTTTTCTTGCTTTTAAATTTGAAAAAGTTTTTATTATCTGGTTAGTGTCTAAGGTTTTTAAAATATCTGAATTTATATCCAACCAAAATGTTAAAAGAATCCTATTTTCAAGAAGCTCTAATTTCTCGGCGAACGAACTTCATCTCTCACAATACTTTTTTTTCTCTATTTTGAGATATTTATTCTAAATATCTTTTTATTGATACATAACTGCGCACTAAGGCTTTGATGGCATTAAATCGTGATGAACATCGTGTAGTGTTAACTCTCCCTGTGCATCGCCCTATTTACCAATTTACAGTTTGGCCGTTTTTTTCCCTGTTCTATAGCACCAAATAGCACTCATGTCAAATCGGCAATGGGTTGCCTGAGGTGATGGACTTAATAGGGTTAATGATAAGTATTCTTACATAGATTGATCATCTATATGTTTTGCAAAATAAACATAAGCTCGTGTCTTGAAGTAAAAAGTAGATAGTTATTTTTTACTATATTCAAAAGCTTAAATTTCAACACATTTATGCAAAACCGATTCTGATTGCGGCACTTGCGAGGCAATATTGCCGTTCGCACTGTGACTCGCTTTGAGCCATGTTTTTCAACAATACCGACACAACTCAAAAACATTGGTTTTTCAAGAGAAGCGAATAAAATTTTTTTAAACACTTACCTCTGTTTTAATATAAGATATGTTGTAACAGAAATTATGGAATCACCTTGAATTATCAGGTAGTAATAATGACCCTTAGCTTATTTATGTTAACAAAAACTGATATATCAAATATTTGGACAGGCAAAAATATAAGAAATAACAGTATTCCATACATTCTCAACATAATACAATCAACTACAAATTTATGAGTATTGAATACAATATTACAATAACAATAAAAATATCGAGGCTTTACCGGGATAATGAACGTTGAATTTGAAAAATATTATGGAATATTACAATAAATCGCTTGAGAGAAAAACATAAAAATCTACAATAATAAAACTAGAAATTCTTACGATAAAAAAATAACATGAAACCTAAAATTTTAAAAGCTTATTTCTGAAATAGCACTCTTTTCCTAATATAATTGTGGCTTTGATAATACACTATTTTTTAAGTTTGTCCCTTAATAAATTAAGCATTTGTTGGGAAGAAAAGCGACACAACTAAAAAAAGTCCATGGAAAGAAATGATTTTATTTTTAAGAAAAATAGTCCCAACTCAAAATGAAACGTTATCATAAAAAAATTTAATATTTAAAAATACTTTCCTTCGATCGCGTATTCTTTGATAGTTGGCATGAATGTTTGCACATGCATGTCGTTAATTCTTGCGTAACGTTATGTCATTTGATGACATGAAAATAACGTTATGGTAACGTGAGAATTTCGCAGCGAAATGACGTCATTCCATATCGTCATTTTGACGAATCGATATCACGTTAAAGTAACGTGTATATCGGGTGTCCTGGGCTAGGCAAATTAACGTCATTATTAAGAATCTACCTAATGTCAAAGTGACGTCTCTCTTGGGTGTCCCAAGGTTGGATGGAATTATTAAAAATACTAAGCAGTTGAAAGTTATTTATTTAATCCAAAAACACATAAAAAAAACACTACAAAAAATAAATTACACTGGCAAATAAAAAAGTTATGAGCAAGAAACCAGAAGGAATAAAATGACAATATGCATTAAATGTTGGAATTTAAACTTTTTATTACATATGTACATGATTATTAAAAATCGTAGTCGCTAACATCTATTTCGCTATCATGCGGGTCGCTATCGGATTGTCCAGCCAACTAAAGTCAAAATAATTTTTTAAAATGGTTATAAATGTGATAACTTACCTTTTGGGGTGCTATCCATCGTATGTAAACAGAAGAACTTGATCTGATTACTTTCAATAATGTATAACAATGCGCTAAAATAATTGTCAGTTAAAATACCGCTGTTATCGACGTCGCGTGTTTACTCGACTATCACGACACGTATCATCGAGATTAGGGAATGGAATGCCACCAAAGTGTTGGACCAGTATTCACTGGTGTCTTCTACGCGAAATTTCATGAATCTAAAGTTTAAAATCGCAACTTTTTTTTTACCTTCATGGCCAGGTTTTGCTGCAAGTTAGCCCACTGTGCGTTAGTTCAGACGGTGTCGAAGGATTTGGCTGCATCAAGCTCAATTAGCACATTTTTCTTCTTATTATTTAACGCTTTTTTTGCAAGGTGCGCGGCTACGCACAGTTGATTTGTACCGATCATACAGGTAAATTATACTGCTTTTTTAAGTAAAATGGTACAAAAATGTAAACATGAAAAAAATGAGTTGTACCGGTCTTGTCGGAAAGCATTGATATATCAACCATGGCGATATATCTTTGACTCTCTCAAAGCCCTGTGGAAGCTAACAGCCATTTAGACAGGCCATTGGAATGCTAATTCAAAAGAGCTTATCAAAGAAAACGAAAATATGCATTTGTGTGTAGTGCCTATTCAATTTTTTATTTGGTCGATTGGATATTAAGTTTTTACGTCGTGAAAATGGAATTTTTGCTCACAGAGGTTAGGATAAGGGCTATTGTAAGAGCAATCCCCCAATTTTTTCCCTCTATATATAACGCCAAATATGATTATAAGAAAAGCAGCAGTAAAAAACGAATGTAAAATCTACTTCAGTTCGCCTTTATAAACGTAAATATGGGTGGTTTATTGCCTGTGACATTTCTACCCGAGGGAGTTGACATTGTTAGTAATTGTATCCGTACGGTCGCGTTTTATTTTTTTTTAAAATTCGCTCATTCAAAAGCTAATTGTAATTTTTCCATTGTTTTAGCTCAAATAAAACAAAAACAAATTTACCTACATTTTTAGCAAAAAATATATTATTTGCCAACATGTTTATAATATAAATTTTTATTAAAATGGTTTCCATTTTTTAGTTATATTGTTGTTAAATTCAATTGGGACTGGCTACTTTGTCAAAATCCGATTTAATCTCTGAATTTCCGGGTTTGCGCTGATGGGAGACTCATTGCGGGCACCCGGACCACCTTTTCAGACGTGCCTGGATTTATAAATCATATGCCGGCCCATTTCCAATCCTGTATACCTCATTTACTATACTATTTGACATCTTGAGCAGAAGGTTAACTATGTCACCATCACAATGAATGACAGTTACCCAATATAAAAACAAAAGAAGAAGAAAACACTACCAGAGGTCATTAGTAAATAACATATGGAGGTAGAAGGTAGGGAGGCGCTGTCATGTAATCTAGTCTTCATAGGTCTAATACGGGTTCACTTCCGCCATATTCTGCTTACGAATCCGTCAAATAGCTAATCGTGGTTTCAATCAATGTTTTTTTTTAATTTATATGTCGTTTACAAACTAAATATATTGTACATATTAAAAGGTGAACAATGGGCGCTTTTCTCAACGTAGTTGT